TTAGACTAACCAGTGACTTAGCACTCAAAAAATATAAGAATTTATGTCCCCAACCTCTGCTCTTTCCATATTTTCTAATACTTTATATATATAACCATAAGTCATAAAAATGAGCATTTGACAAAAATTAATAGAACCAGATATTTGAAGGTTTTAAAACACTTAATAATGTTTATTTATTAAAGAAACTGAAATTTAAAATCAATATAAAAATACATAAAATCGACAAAACCTTCATCTTCAACCTCTAGACCCGTGAAAATTGACTAGAAACTATATTAATTCATACCATCCTCATTTAACAACAACGTGCAAAAAATACAGAGTTGAAACAAGAATCATGAAAAAAAATTCAAAGATCAACATAAAAATTTTATAAATAATTAATGCTATATATACGGATACATAATTAATTTCCAACAAAACTAATATATATTGAAAATAATTAACAGGAAATAATTTGTGTTATATGTATAAATGCATAATTAATTTTTAATAAAATCATTGATCTCATTACTTTTTTGTATATATCATTACCATAGTATGTACAAATTAAAAAATATGTTTAAAAAAATTAAGTTATAAGAAATATATTAAAGTTAATAGAGTGCAATAAAAATAATTTAAAATTTTATTTTAAAAAAATTGATTATATCAAGAATAAGGTACGAAAACATGTGAATTTTATTATTTATTAAAAAAATATTGAAAATTTATACACATAGAAAAATAAATCATATTTATTAACAAATAACATTTCATAATAAATTTAATTTGATGAGAGTTTTTAAAATAAATAACAAATTTAAGAGATTAATTTTAATCAATAGAAACATATAATCCGATATATGTGTTTGTTCTAAAATTTAAAAACATAAGAGGCCAAAAATATTTTTTAAAAAATATGAGAAACAAAAAAATATTTTGAAAAAAAGTAAGGGAAAAATGGACTAAGTTAAAAATATGAGATGTTAAAATGTTTTTAAAAATATGAAGATTTAAAAATACATTTTGAAAATATAAAGGACCAAAAAGACATGAAGAGTAAAATTTGAAAATGTCAAAAAAAACTATAAAGAAATCACGAAAATACCGTTGTAGAGAATTACAAGAATATCCTTTTTTTAAGTCATGAGCAGTGAATTACTATTCAAATGAATCATTCACTTGTTCATCCATTCCAAATGTTTTCATTTTTTTCTTAGTTAGTTAACTAGCATATATCCCGCGCGTTGCCACGGGATGAATTATATATCATTCTTTTGCATTCATTAATATAAAAATTTAACTTTTACAAATCATTATTTAACAATATCATGCAAAAATAATTTTTTTAAAAAAAGTAAAGCATATATTTCATAATTTGCTATAGGGTTAGCTAATGAAAAATCTATAAAGTTGAGTAATATAATATTGCTAATTAGATATTTTTTATATAAACATGTATTTTATTAATAGCTGATAATTAAAATAATAATGTGGTAGTTTTTTGAATTTTTGATGATTAATTTTTATCATATATTATTCATCCGTAATTTATTAATGAGACGAGAGAGACCACTCAAAATAGAAAGATTAAAAAACTTTATCAAATCGAGAACTTGGCAAAGAAAATAGAGATAAAATTATACATAATAAAAATTAAATGATTAAAACAAAGTAAAGATTATAAAATGATTAAAAAAATTTCACTAAAAGCATACAAAAAAATACTTATAAATAATAAGACTAAAAAAATTTCATTATGTGTAAGGCAGGAACAAAAGTAAATATTATAGAATTTTAATGACTAAAATAAAAAAATTAATAACATAAGAATCAAAACAGAAAATTTTTCACTAAAAATTTTAAAAAAAACTTAGGATAGTTAAAATGTATTTAATTTTAATGTAAAATGATTAATAATTAAATATAATAAAAGTTTAATGATCAAAATAAATGAAAGATCATATATATATAACAAAAAGTTTTATTAAAAGTAAAAAATAGTTCCTTGTAGGAAAAAAATTTAATTATCAAAATAAAAAACAATTACAAAACAAAGATTAAAAAAATTTTTTTTACTAAATTTAATGAAGAAAAGAAAGAAAAAATAACAAAACAGAAATTAGAATAGAAAGAAAATTTCAGTTAAAAATAAATCTTACGATAGTAAATTTTATTTAGTTTTATCATAGTAAGGATAAAAATTAAATATGAGAAAATTTTCATCACTAAAATGAAAACATATTAAAAAACAAAAACATAAATTTTTACTAAAAGTTAAAAAAGTTTTGATTATAAGGATTAAAATCACATATAATAAAATTTTAATATTTTTGATAGGGATAAAAATCAAAGATCGGAAAAGTTGAATGACCAAAATTAAAAAAACAAAAAAAAAGAATGAAGGGACCAAAATAAATAACAATTTCTTAAGTCGAAAAGGAAGGAAAAAAAAGAAAAAAAAACAACCAAGCCTCGCGCATTAGGCTCGGCTGAGCAACGCAAGCTTGCTAGTCGAGCTCGTGCTGCAAAAGAAAAAAAAAAAAAGGGCTGCAACTTCCGACGATCAAGGTCATCGAAATCGTCATCGGAAAGTCGAGATTCAAGTTTCGGACTCCTAAAAATTGAATTCCGACATCATTTGTTTTCCTAAACACCTCTAAATGATCGAAATAAAGCCAATAAACATATCTAAAACCTTAAAAATCATTTTAATGCATAGAAAAGCAAAAACAAATTATACAATCAAATCGGAACTTTGTTTTCTTTTTTGGCTCCGGTCTACCTCCTCTAATGGTTTAATGGCTTGAAATAACCATGGAAAAACTCATCTCTCAAATATAAACAAATCTAGTAGATTTTTGCTAGCCATAAGCAACCTAAATAAGGTTGGTCGATGATTTTCTCTCTCCTCTCGGTCTCTCTCTTCCCTCCTCCCTTTTCTCTCATCTAGGGATCAAAATGGATGAGAAAATAAAGATATGGACTGAAAGATTAGTTGGCAAAGATTAGAGATCAAAGTGCAAAAAATCAATAAATAGTGAATTGTAAGTGTGTGAATAGGTTTTGAAATAATAAACCGATTTTTTGTTTTAGTTTATATAGTTAATGCTGGCTTCGGCTGTTTTGCTTATTTTAGCTTTATATTTAGTCCAATTGTCCAATCAAAATCCAACCGATATTCAATTTGTAACTTCCATCCAATTCTATTAACGAGAGTCAACTAGAATTAGAAACCCAATCCAGGTTTACGTCTGGACCTCTTTTAAGAGATTGTTGCTTGGTATTTGAAATTAAGGCCCATTATGTGCACTTTTAAAATTATTTTTTTAAAAAAACTTAATTTTTGATTAACGAATAAACTTAATAAAAAATATTCATATGGTTAAGTTATAAAATATATCCAAAAAATATTACCTAAAATAGAGAGTTTTTAATAAGAGACAGTAGTGCTATATATATATATATATAACAGTAGTTCTCCTCGACAAAAAACTACTATTATGAGAGAAAGACACTTCAAAGCTATTGGATATCCATGCATGTTAAGTTAGTTTTATATGACATTTTATTACACATATCATATATTTAATTTCAAAGGTATAAGAAAATTAATAAATAATAATATTTTAAGATACTCTGGAAATGCTTTTACAAGTCTCTGATGCCTCACAAATACTTTATTAGTATAATTTTAACTATTTTCATTATTTAATAGTTTGTGCATATTTACTTTTACAGCAGCACACTACTAGTATATAATTCACATGGATGATCATTCATGAAGATTGTTTAAAAAATGAAAAAAATAATTATTTAACCTACCGTGTAAATTTCATGTTTGGTTTATAGAGAATAAATATTTTAATACTATCATTTAAGTAATTGAATATATATATATATATATATATATATATATATAGGGAGAAAGAGACAGAGAGAGAGAGTAAATTATAAATTAGCATTTTTAGTTTGACAAAACGAATTAGATGATTTGTTTTAAAAACTAATTAATTAATTTATTGACTAATATTGATTACGATTAATTTAATATTATTTTAATTTAAAAATATTTTTTCATTAATATTTTTATTTTTTATTTATTTAAAAAACAAAATAAATTAAAAAAGAATTAAAGTAATTAAATTATAAAAAATTAAAAATACAAGGGTTAATTAATCAGTAATTAAAACTAGATTAACAACTTAATTTCGTTTGACAAACAAAAGAGATTAGTCTCTCTCTCTCTCTCTCTTTACATATCCAGCCTATATATATATATATATATATATATATATATATAACATTTATTTTTTTAATTTTTAACTCAATCAGGTTTTGACAGAGTAATTGATCGGGTCAATCAAATTTTGATCAAATCAACCAGGTTTGATTGAATCAAAACTTAATTGATACTTAATTTGATTACAAATTCAATCCAATCTTAGTTCGAATTTTCAGATTTCTGTATCAACCCGAAGGACCGAGTCGGAACGGGACGGGTTTTGACTTATGCACCGAAAATTACCCTTTTGCGACTGGTAAAAGCAAGAAAGTTACCAAACAAACAAAACAGAAAGGAGAAAGACCGGTAGTTAGTCCTTACTCCTTAATAGTAACAGTTTCTTTTTACTGACGTGTTCTATTTGATCGGATTAACGCTAAGAAGAAGAGGGAACAAAAAAAAACGAGAAAGGCAGTTGAGCTGAGTTGATCGATGCGGATCTGCTGTCTTTATTTATTAATCTAAGATTTCAACAGCGACCCATTTCAGAACCAGTCCAGGTAATTTCTGGGTTCGATTTCAATTCTCGTAAAGCTTACAACTTTAGCTGATCACTTCAGTTTTTACGGAGTTTCAAAGGTGGTTTTTTAATGTTCTTTCTGTTCTGCTGCGGTAGATATATAAGTAAAGATGTAATTCATTCATGGAACTAATCTACCTTGTCTTTTGTTTTAAGGTCCTTCATGCTTTGACGAAATAACGATACAGCGCTGAATTTGACCAAAAGATCATGGTAAAGTATTCTTGGGTTTTATTACTTGGTATGATTTCCATTGATTTTTTAAAGTGTTGACTATGTATTTTTGGTTCTTCAGAATTACTTAGTTGGAGCTTTTAAACCACCATGCAATGTTTCTATCAATTTTGCTGATGGAAGGACACGCAAGCAGGTACCTTGTTAATTTGTCAACATTGCTCAAGACTTCTGCTTTTTCTGTATTATTATTGTTGTCAAACATTTGTGTTATTTTAATTGCTATTGTAGTATAAGGTGAGAATACGGTTGTTATATGCGTATAGATGGAGTGTAAAAGCCTTGTGTTTACTAGAATTGATTTCTAGTTTTTCTTCCATGCCTGGATTGGTGCATTCATGTCAAGAACATAAACGAAGGGACTTGTGCACCACTTGATTTCTGGATGACCTATGAATCCAACCGCCATTTTGAGAATGCTGAATTGTTGGAAATATTAGGCAAACTATTGTTTGGGCTCAACAAGTCTGAAAGTAATTTTGTTTTCCCCTATTTTGACATGTAGGATTTAGGATTTATATTGTTTTTCACAAAACTGAAGTAAATTTTTATGCAAAACCTTTACTTCAATGATTTATCATAACTTATTGATTTCACTAATTGGGTTAATTTCTGGCTTGGTATTCTAAGCATCATTTGTGGTCAGACTTCGGTTGACGTAATAATAGTGGGTGGTGTGCTTTATTAGACTTTGATCTTTGTATATTCTTTTTTATTCAATTTATTTGCAATCGCCAACTAGCTGAACTCTAAGATTTCATCCTCACCCACTGTTCTTTCGATTGAAATTAAATGTCCTTAAACTGAATTCCAATGTGTTGAGAGTTGAAACTTGCCCATGCTCTACTTTCTTTTGTGCCGTATCAACTTACAAAGATACCTACCGAATGTTTGTTTGTGTATTCACTATCTTTATCTTTCTATGATGTATGTTTTTTATTTTGTCAATCTTTTTTGTTGTTATAAAGAGTTCTCTGCTTCTTCCTGTGTTCCTGTTTTCGATGTATTGGGTTGATTGCATAAGAAGAGTTTTTTTTTCCTACATATTGACCACATCTAAGTTGCTTAATCTCTCTCACATCTCATCCTATTCGTATTAACATGGGGATGTAATCCATGTGGCATTATACTGGTACCGCTTTGCTATCAGGTTTGATACATGGAATTTGGTCCAATGAACTAATGAATTTTCCTAGATATGTTTGCCCTAATGAAGTGAAAGATGGGATTTTATTGAGAGGCTGTTTAAAAATCATTTTAGTCAGGCATATAACTATTGCTTTTATGTGTTTTTATAGGTTCCATTAAAGAAGGAAAATGGCCAAACGGTCATGGTTCCTCTCTTCCAAAGTCAAGAAAACATTGTCGGGGAGGTAGTTGCTAATTTTTTTGGTTGCTTACTTAATCTTACAAGTTACATAGAGAAAGTATTTTTGGTAATGTTCTCATTGAGACTGAAATTGAATATTATTACTTCTATATTCATATTCAGGTTGTCATAGAACCAGTTCAAGGGAAGAAGGTTGAGCACAATGGTGTTAAAATTGAGCTGCTCGGTCAAATAGGTGTTTTGAATTTGCTTCTGCTTGTGATATCTAGCTCTTGTATTTTATATGTGGAAGATCATGTTCATATTGCTATGATTACCTTGTCATTTATCCAATTAAGTGGAAAATTCTAATATAGATGATATAAGTAAAGGATAAGCTCTGAAGCAGGCAATGCTAGAATTCTATATGCTAAATTATTTGGGAGTTGTAACACTTGTTGTCTAATCTAGGATTTGAAAGCATTGTTACTCTTAAAAGTTAGAAGAGAAGTGAAAAGAAAGAAGTGGTGAGAACTTCTTCTCTCATAACTTGTCGAAGCCTATAATAGATCTCTATAGTTTGCCATTGGTGCTCACCATTTATGTTAACATAGTCTATTGGCATTGTACTAGAGATTATAGGGTTGAATTCTGGCTTCACCCAGGCATGGGAGCTTGAAGGGAAAAATGGTGGCCATCTCTCATTGTCAACTACGAAATAGCAATATTAAAGAATGATCATATATTTTTGTTCTGCTAAGAATTTTGATTTGGAGAAGAATAGAAATCGATATATAAGAAAGACTTGGAAAGAAAAATATAGCAGATAAAAAGATAGAAGACTTGCATTACCCATTTATGATCTCTCTAAAGCAGGTTAAAAAAATGATATTATTATTAATGTGGTAGAATTTTCTTCCCTGTCTTTTTTTCTTTGTAATTGATTGTTCCACTTGGAGTAGTTATTGGGTGGATTTTTCTTTGATGTGAGTTACATGAAATTCTAGGACTACATTTCATTGGCTTATCACATGAGAGAATCACTTTTCAGAGTATGACATATTTCTTCCCCTCTTTGCAGAATTATATTTTGATCGAGGCAACTTTTATGATTTTACATCTCTCGGTGAGTGCACCTAAACATTTATTTCTTTTAAAATTGGTAACCTAAAGAAGGGCTATATATGTTATAACATGTTCAGTGCATCAAATTTTTAAGTTTTGGGTATTGTATAGTTTCACTATTTTTCAAAGACATGGCAATCTATCATTTTATTATTTTTATCATAACTTCAATCCATGAAGGTAATTTTCGATCATGATGAACTCTTGTCCTGTCATGTGCAGTGCGTGAACTTGATGTACCTGGAGAATTATATGAAAGAAAGACATATCCCTTTGAATTTTCTACTGTGGAAATGCCATATGAGTCCTACAATGGAGTGAACGTGAGGCTTAGGTAGGGTATCCTTTTGAATTGCACACGTTTAATTATGTAATTGATAGTAATTTGTAAGCATGCTTGGGGGAGTTTCCCAACACTTCAATCTCACCCTAATTTTTCATTGGAAGACCAATTTTTGCATTTGCTCCAGCTAATTGTTTGCCTATGATACCAATTTGTTTAGCTAGATATTTAAAACTCTTGTGTGAGGCTAGGGTAGGGTATCCTTTTGAATTGCACAGGTTTAATTATGTAATTGATAGTAATTTGTAAGCATGCTTGGGGGAGTTTTGCAACACCTCAATCTTACCCTAATTTTTCATTGGAAGACCAATTTTTGCATTTGCACCAGCTAATTGTTTGCCTATGATACCAATTTGTTTAGCTAGATATTTAAAACTCTTGTGTGAGGCTTAGGTAGGGTATCCTTTTGAATTGCACAGGTTTAATTATGTAATTGATAGCAATTTGTAAGCATGCTTGGGGGAGTTTCCCTACACCTCAATCTCACCCTAATTTTTCATTGGAAGACCAATTTTTACATTTGCACCAGCTAATTGTTTGCCTATGATACCAATTTGTTAGCTAGATATTTAAAACTCTTGCACCATCTGTTTCTGTTTCTTTCATGCTTTTTTAACCTCCATTGCCCATAGATTCTGATGATTTGCAAAAAGTTATCTCTTCTTCTTTTCCTCTCTTTCTCTTCATGTTGTATATTACAATGTCAAAGAATTCTCATCGTTTGGCATTTGCTACTAAATGATTGTTAGTAGGGTTAAAGACAAATTGCTGATTCTCCAGGCATACTTCAATATATAAGAAAACCAGATTTTGGCTAGCTAAATATATATATTACTAACATTGTTTAGCATGATCAATTGTGCCTGGCATGCATGGTTTAGCATATTTTGACTTTGTTAATACTGAAGCCAGAGCACTTAGATAAGGTTGCCATAGCGAAACAAATTATAATATATTAGGATAAATTTTTTGAGCTCGGGGAAGGCATATATGATCCTTTTGATAGTTGTGCTCCTTGTTCCAAGTGATGTTCACCATTTCATTTTTTGTACTCCTAGTTTAGACTGCAAAGATTATTTGAAATTAAAATGACTTGTATAATTTTGAAACTGGAAACTATAATCAGTTTTATTTTTCTAAGATTGCAGAAGCTAACTCAACTTTTTTGTTTCCTTACAGGTATATATTGAGAGTGACAATCAGTCGGAGCTATGTCAGCAACATTGTCGAGCACCAGGATTTTGTGGTAATAATGAATGATTGCTCCATTGTAGTCATCATTGTCATATTGAGTAGTGATGCAACATAAAATTTTGTTTTTGGGTTATTTCCTTTTTTGTGATTCTCTTATTTAAGAATAGGATTTATTTTACATGCTACTTTGATGGTTTAAAATAGCAGTGCAGCTTGTCAGATTTTCTGTCTTATTTGCGTCTTTTACATTCCTTGAGAATTTTTATGTGCCTTGAGTTGGAAGTTAATCAGTTAGACCATTCAGCGTTGTTACTATTCTATCTACTCGAATTACTAGGTGAGCTGTTTCACAAAGTTGACATCTTTAGTGTTTTATTAGTGGAATGTGTTGGAGGGGATGCTGACTTAAGATTGGAAGGGTGTAGTCTTTGTAGCTGTTTGGTGGAAAATTCCAAGGGCTGTCTGAGTTGTTAAGTTGTGGGTGGTGTTGTTGGAAAGCATGGAGGGTAGCCTTTGAATTTGTACAATGGTGGTGATATTAGGTATCATTTAAAGAAGGAAAGAATTTACTGGTTAACTGGTAGTGGAGAATGGTCGCCAGATTCACTGTAGCAGCAGTGGATGCTGCTAGAGACTAGGATTGATGAATTAACTTGAATTGCAGAATCTTCACCAACAAAACAAGAAGGGCCAGTGCTTACTATTGGTACTACAGAAATGGATGCTGCGAGTGTGTTTGAGAAACTCCTATGCAAATTCATAGAGCAATTACAAAGTTATGGGTCACTAACTATCAAAGAGTGTATAGGTGCAATGAGACAACATTCAACAAATAAAGAAGCAATTACCAAAATATGAGGTTGATTAGTCAAATAATAGCTCAACCAATAGGTACTTTTGTATATTCATGTTAAAATGATACACAGGCCACCATATCTCTTTATGTTTCCAAATCAGTCTTGCAAATTGGTCTTGTGATAGTTCTTTTTTCCTTTTGCTGTAAGGTTCTGGAAAGGTAAGTCCTTGTTCTAATATATATATATATTTTTTTTTGGATTATCTTGTCAAGATAAATAGCCTTGAGAGTGTTACACAACAGCTTGCTTTTTATTTTTTATTAAAAAAATTTAATACTCTTGTTCAGGTTCGCAACTACACTCCACTTCCATCAATCAATAACAGCATCAAGGTCAGGATTGATATAATACCTCTACTGCATGCTATTATCATGTGGATACCTATATTTTGCAAATGTTTGATTGCTTTTTATTTGTACAGATTGCTTGTACTATTTCAATCTGGGAAAACATGTTTGTTCACATTTAAGTTCCTTGAACTGTTCGCATGTTTATTTGCCAATACAACTTTATCTCTTCGTCTGCAGCACATTCTATCTGCCTCCTTGATAGGCCTTAAGCAGCATGAATCCAGCCTGAAGTCATGCATTTTTTTTCTAGTTGTTGTTGGAGGACATCTTTTGTCTCATTACATGTTTGATTAGTAGAAAAGTACTCAGATAAATGCCTGACATATTGAGTTGAGATGTTTGTGGAGACGATTCATTACATAAATTAATTATTCTTATAAAACCTGGTGGTTGATTGTGAATTAGCTGTCAAATTCATTCTAAAAATTGATCCTGATCCATGTGTGTTATTCTTGGTGGCACTTGTAGATGGAAGTTGGAATTGAGGATTGTCTTCATATTGAATTTGAATACAATAAAAGCAAGTAAGTCTAAAGGAGCTTTATAGTGAAAAAAAAAGTCCTGTTATGAATTAAGTAGAAAGGGAGCTTTATGGCTTCTTATTGAGTTCGATTGAATCAGGTACCACTTGAAGGACGTCATTGTTGGCAAAATTTATTTTCTTCTGGTGAGAATTAAGATTAAGAATATGGAACTTGAGATCAGGCGCCGTGAGTCAACAGGATCAGGGCCTAATACATATGTTGAGACAGAGACCCTTGCAAAATTTGAGTTGATGGACGGTGCTCCTGTCAGAGGTACATAAATTCTTAGTATTTTTAGCTTTTTATGTCCAGTAATATGCATAATTGCATTTAACAAGTCACTCCCAAAATCTGAGTGACACATCTAACATTTCAACAATCTTACTGATCGATAAAATTATGCCTTTCGTGCTTGAATTTTAACTGGATCTTGATATGGTTCAATTTAGTTATCTGTGATAAGTCACCGGTGTTGCAAGATTTGTAAAATGCTGATAGTAGAGAAGAACAATTGTGGATATTTTTTAAGGTTTACTTGTTTATTTAATGTTGTGAGAGACTCATTAAGCACGTTGCAAACTTTTTTTGTCTATGAAGCATAGACAACATGTGTAGAAACAAAAGGAAATAAAGATGCCAGAATGGAAGATTTTGAAAAGTAGGAACTAGACAGAGAGAAAATTCTATTTTAATGGAAAACAAAATTAGAGGACTTGAACCTCTTAATTGGAAGTTTCGCTAAACTGTTAAGTATGGTGACCTTTATAGTTTTTGAGAAATGTATGTATGAAATACACCTGTAATTTTTATTTTTAAGACTTCAGAATTATGTGATTGCATGTCATCCATATTACAACAATGAACAGCTTCTATAATGCCTTCATTGTCTGATTTATTAGCCAAGTATTGATGGGAAATTGTGAAAATTTGATGACGTGTTGCATTTATTCATCTCTGTTTGTGTGCTGGATACCGGGCTCTATTCATATTTCAGAGGATTATCGCACTGATGCAATTACTGATGGCTTAACAGGTGAATCTATTCCAATTAGACTGTTCCTAAGTCCATATGAGTTGACACCCACATATCGCAACATCAACAACAAATTCAGTGTGAAGTACTTCTTGAATCTTGTTCTAGTTGATGAAGAAGATAGACGGTATTTTAAGCAGCAAGAAATCACAGTTTATCGGCTTCTTCCAACTCCTTGAATGATTGTCCATCTCAGAGGAGCTCAGCAATTTTAACATGACAAAAAGGAAGAAAGGAGCTTTATGTTAGTAACACCAATTGGGTATTTATCTTCTTTGAAGGACAAGGATTGGGATTTGTCATGGAGAGATTTCCCTGTTTTTTATGTTGATGGTGCCCAACTTGATTTTGATCCGTGAAACCTCTTTCTGATGGCAGAAACCTTTCCATGTTTGGGATACTTGGAACAACGATGGTTCCATTGTTCTAATTCTGTTGTTGCATTTCGAGGCTGGCCGCGGTGTAATGCAAGTTGTGTCTTCTTCTGTAAATTTGATTTTTTTTCCCTCTTAGAATGTATTAACGAAAATTTTCTTTCTAGGTGTAGCTTGATTCAGTTTTTCTTTACATGGAAGTTATCCTAGAATATTGCAGGCTTTTTTTTTTTTTTTTTTGTCAAGTTTCTTCGTATTCACGCGTATGTGACCTCCAAATCGTTACATTGTGCAAGCCATGCTGTAATAATTGTTGCATGCACCTGGGCTTTGGGCATATTTGGCCCCCCACAATGAGGTTTTACTACACCTCAGAATTCTAATTAACGATACAGGTTGCTAAGCACCGACCTATTCTCCTATTAAATCGTAAAAAGCAACGGACTTCCGTTTTATCCTTACACTCCACGGAGACACGATTTAATATTTAAGAAAATTTCTCCTTCAGAATGCAACTATCCATGTTCTCACCGCCTCGTCGGATTTCTCCAAAGTACCAGAGAAGACACGATGGCCAAAGAGCAAAGAAGAGCGGGAGAATTCATGTCCAAATGTGTTTATGCTCTTTGTTGCGAATCGAACGGTGCTGTTAATGAAGAAACTGGATTTGACAAACTGAAAATGGTGACTGGTGGCTTCTATCTACCGAAGACCAGCGAAAAAAGGCCGCTTGGACAAGAAGCTCATTTCTACCTTCAAAACAAGCAATCCATTGGCGTGGCCGATGGTGTTACTAGCAAGTCCGAAGAGCGCATTGCAAATGATTCTGGAATTTCCGCAAGAGAACTCATGTCCAACTGTGTCGCCGCACTCCGTCGCCAATCTAATGAGGCTGTTAATCCAAAACAAGAGTTAAAATCAGCTCATTTTAAGACTACATCAAAAGGGTCTTCCACTGTTTGCATTGTATCCCTCAATGGAAACCGTTTGTGCTATGCCAGTGTTGGTGACAATGGATTTCTGGTTTTCAGGTCTAACCAATGCGTGTATAATTCACCTATAACATAGCTGATGAGGGTGAATTTGAGGTTAAGGCTCGTGATATTGTGGTGCTTGGAACTGATGGATTGCTTGATAATCTGTTTACTTATGAGATTGAGGACGTTCTTCAAAATCTGATTTCTTGTGGAACTGATCCTCAACAGAGCGCTGACACCATTGGAGCTGCTGCCAAGGCAAATTCACGTAATAGATTATCCAATTCTCCATTTTCTGTGGCTGCTAAGTTGGCTGGATTTGAGTATGTTGGTGGTAAATATGATGATATTACTGTTGTCGCTGCAAGGATTGAGTCAGTTAATTAGCAAACTAGCTAGCTCCGTCCTTGTTAGGTTTTTGTCGTATCAGTGTTTTTTGGCAACTTCGATTAAATTTTAATTTTGTTTTTGGGTAGGAAGCAGGGCCTAGAGCCCAAAGAGACCTCCTATGTACATTGACAAATTAATCGACTCTTTGAATGATTTGTTAATTTTGTGATATATTTTTTTCTTTCTAATTATTGCTTGCTTGATTATTGTTCAGGATAAATTATCTCTAAAAGATACCACAAATCTCTCTGTGGGACAAAATCCAAAGTCAGCAATCCACAAGATTTTGCACATACCTTTCATACTTTTTTGATTGTCAGTTTTCTTCTTTTTGTGGGTTAACTAATATCACCTTTTTTTTTTTTTAATGGCATTGGCTGTAAGATTAATTATCATCAACGTGATACATGTATCTTCTTGTGAGTTAACTAATAGTACAACAAAGCTTTCACACTTAGATTTTTAATTTTAATATGGCATTGGCTGTAAAATTAATTATGATCGCAAGATATATATATCTAGAATTATTTTTTATACATGGTACATGTATTTAAAATATAAAGTTAATTGTGACTCATATGATATATAATATTTAAAGTATATCTAACTAATTCGACAAATGATATTAATTATAATACAAATTTTAATTATAATGCATGTATATTTAAAGTATATCTAATCAATTAAGATACATGTATTTAATTAATTATGATATATGTAATTGATTAATAAAATACATGTATAAGTCTGGATGTGAGACTTGAGTTAAGACTATAAAATAAGGAGTATTGTCTTTTTTTTTCTCTTAATGAAAAAAATATATATCAAAATTAAAGAAAAACTAAATAATATCAATTTCTATTGTTAAGATAGGGATCAAGAGAGAGAAATCATTCTTCATCTCTTATCTACTTCTCAATATTGATTTAAAGGTCTAAATCTGACTTAAGATTTTTTTTAATTTTAAATTATGTGAAGGTATGAAGTTTTAGGATTTATAGGTATGATCAATTTATCTCTTATTTTTCTGCATAATTACAATTTTATTTTTTCATGTGGTATCATAATATGGTTTAAGAGCTCAAATTTTTTTCATTTAAGATTGTAGCTTCTTTTTTTTTTCTTTGTCTATTTGTGAATTTATAATTCAAATTATGAATTTTATTACAAGTAATGTTAATAGATATTTTAATTATACTTTGAATGGATAAAATACATTAAGATTTTGACATATTAAAATTTTTCATACTACTATATATATATATGTCATTAAATGAATTAAGTATTGTATTTCTAATTTTAAAATTTGTATTAAGAATGATTTGTTAGTCACCAAAGTGACCGAATTTTAATGTGAATAAAGTTTTAATTGTAAATTATTTTCAACTACCCATAAACTCTTTTCATATTATTCTTTTTAAGATACATATAAAAATTTGATTTGAAAGAAAATTCACATAAAAAAGAATATCAAATATATAATAAATGTGAAATTTAATAATAATAAAAAGAAAGTACTTAGTAAAATTCACTAAAATATTTTAATAATATTTAAACAACAAGATCATAAATTAAAAAAATTAAATTCAATGCAGTTTAAAGCCAATTAATTAAAAAAAATATCCATACAGTTCATTTAATCTTATTCTAGAAAAATAAAAACAAAATTTGAATATGCCATTTTTTTTTTATAACTCAAGTAAATTGATAGCACCAAATTGTCCATGGGGATAATAAAATGAGGAAGTACAAGAACGATATATGCTAACTTGACAGATTGAAGGAAAAAAACATTAACTCAAATAAATAAATAAAATTAGCTTATTTAGGATATTGATTTTTTTTTCTTTTCATTTTTCTCTTAAGTGAACTAAATATTTAAAAATTATTTATTTATTTTAAGTGAAGTTGGGATATTTAATGATTTTAATGCTTGAATTAAAAAAAAAAAAAAACTCAAGTGATTTTTTTTTTACTTTTTTATTGATTAAATTTCATATTATTTTTATTTTTTATTTTTAAACTGAATTTTCTTTCAAAATAAAATTATATTTATATATATTTTCAAATAAATCATGTGAATTTTTTTAAGAAGTTAATTAATAAACTGTCTATACTTTTGAGGAGAAAATTGAAGTTTAAATAATAAAAGGTTATTTTTTGTTATTTTTTTTAAAATAAAGATGAACGAAACTTATTGATAAATGGTTGAAATGTCAAGAGGGTAATTGATAGAGAACAAACATGTAGGTAGAAATTGATAGAAGATCAAGGAGTAAAATGAAATTAACCTCTATTTAAAATAAGTGCTAAGGTATAATATTAGTATATTACCCTTCTAATCCTAGCATTAACTTCAAATATTAGTATTTGTTGCAATTTCAACTTCCTATTGACTATTCAAATTAATAAACAGAAAAATGAAAGCCATTGACTTTCCATTGTTCATTTTTTTACTGACATTTTAGCTTGTATTAATTTTTTTTCCCAACGACTATTTTTAAAATTTAAAGATTAATGTTCAATCTTTAAACTTTTGAAACTCAAGTAAAATGATTTCAAAATTATAGCATGACATATATCTTATCAAAGTGAGTTATTATTTATATATGGATAAAAAATGGATACAACAAAACAATTTTAACAAATTTTACATAAATAAAAAGATAAAATAAACGTTAAAAAAATTATATAATATTATGACTTTTATATAATTTTTCTTTTCATTTCATGTAGCATTATTCTTTGTATCTAGTAATAGCAGCATGAACAATCTGAAAAAAAAGGTCTACATTAGAATATTTTACATTTTAGGTACTAAATTGATTTTTTCTAAACTACAGGTACAAAAATCAGTTACTTCACCCGAACATAAAAGAAGAAGGCATGCTGCCGAGTTGGGCTACCGAACTTTTGTATGTTAAAGCTCGAGTTAAAACAAAAATTATACAGTTGGGTTGCCCGTATAATCAAATCCGAAATAAATCCTTTTGATTTTCCTTACCTTCTCTACCTGGCCACCCTTTATTTCAAACTCCTTTGCTAATTTAACATTGCTTTAAAGGGAGGGATTTTTGGTTCAGGCATTCCATCGAACAAGTCTCATACATTATACAACAACACCAGAAACGTAGTAAAGGAGTGAGCTTTATTAGTGAAACAAAAAATGAGTGAGTGGCTAAAGAACCAATTGTTTGTAAGCCATGCGATTGCAGCAACAGGATCAGTAACAGTAGCCACAGCTCTCACTTACCCACTTGATACTCTCAAAGTTCTTATTCAGGTTTTTTTTTGTTCTCTGCCTTTTGCTCCTTCATTTCTTTTAAATTTTCTTAATATAATCACTAATTTATTTTGCATTATTGTTTCTTGGGAGCTGGATAACAGGTTGGCTCGGGTTCTGGTAAACAATTAACTCCTCTTCAGGCTTTAAATCGAGTTCGTTCTTTTTCTGGGAATGCAGGTCTAATTTTTGTTTCACTTGGGTTATACGTTGTCTGTTTACGAGAATTGTTTTGGGTTAATACATGATTAGTATCGAATAGTAAATCCCTTTTCATTGATTCTCTACAGTGAACATTGTAGGCTTGTATAGCGGTTTTGGGTGGTTGACTTCAGGGAAAACTCTTGCTCTCGGAGCTCGGTTTGGAGCCTATGAAATTTTAACAGCTTATTACAAAGGTCTTACTCTCTTCATTTTGAAATGAGTTCATGGTATTCAGAATTCCCCTTCCCTGTTAGTTTATGGTATTGAGTCAAATGAGCTAAAATATTGATGTTAGTAATTGAAATAAGTTCTGGAATCTACGACTTTTGATTGATTGTGGTGATTGCTATTGACTTTCTGGCAGATGGCCGAGAAGACAATTATGTGCACATCTCCGAGGCCCTCATGGCAGGAATGGTAGCTGGTGCATTAGAGTCAATTGCATGCTCTCCGTTTGAACTTATTAAACTTCGTGCACAGGTTACCTCTGCATCTCGAGTTCCAAGATCTACCACTGCTTCTGAAAATAGAGCCGCTGCACCTTTTATTGCGAAATTACTACCTAGATATACTCCAGATAAGAAGGCATTGAACCATTCTGTTACCCTTTTGTCCATCCTAACCAGTAAGCATCCTAATCTGGTTGGTGCCTTGCAAGAGTACCCATGGATGATGACTGGGTCTGGGAAGGCGCCATCGGTCTGTGATGTTCGGAAGCCATCAAGCATTCTCTCTTTGGAAGGATGGGGTGCATTCTGGAGAGGGTTCAGATCAGGACTTGCTCGAGATTCTATTTTTAGTGGGATATTCTTCAGTAGCTGGCAATTTCTGCATGATGTAATGCTTAACTGGAAGGCAGTTGGGATGGATCCTATACCCAGGTTTGAAAATATGTCTAATAAGCTGTGCAATGACTTCCCTGTTACATACTTCTAATAATATTCAAGAAATGCACACCTATCTGATATTCTTTCATTGTTTAGCAATTCCCAATACTGCAAGTTGTTCTTTTCCATAAAAAAAATAAAGGACATCAGAGCCAAAAAAAATAATAATAATAAAAAAAAAAAAAAATTGCTGAACTGTCTGCTTGCTTAGTCGTGGAGTGTCTTCTGCTTCTATCATTGGAAGCAAAGTAATCTGATTTGAGATATATTTTCTACCATGTGGCTTCGAATTTCATGTTTTGTCAATGGCATTGTGATGTGTTATTGTGTATGTATCCAGTGGTCTATAGGGTTTTAGGTGGATACCAAGTACTATATTATACCAGCATTGTTGGAGCATATGCTATAAGGAAAACAAATGTTAGGATGATATGATCAGTGGCAATTGTATATGTGTGCTATATTATAATTAGTTTGTGTTTAACATTTATGTTGCCATAGAACACGTACGTGGAGGTCATTAAGTTTAGTGTCCAACATTACAGTCAGTTTTAAGAAATTATGCATGCTTCTTCTTTGTTAGTTTCATTAAAACTCTCTCCTCTACTATTTAATGTTTATTTCTCTGCATCCTTTTAGACAAGAATGCTGGCTTTAGCTCCTTTAAAGCCAACATAACAGCCATTCATTATTACCATACTCATTTATTTATGTAGTTTCTAAATTGTACCTGAGATTGCCCAGCACCCCACATTGTTAGTAAAGGTTGCAGAGAAAAAAGTTCCGCTGAGAATGTGTAATTTTTGTGTTTTCCAAGTAAAATATTTTATATTTTAGGTTGAGCTCATAAAATAAAATGCTGATCTTGCAAGATGGTTGAAGCATAGGTGGGTTAAAAATGCTTTCCATTTTGACATGTTGAATAAATTCCACCTTCTCTGGTTGAGCATTATTCGTGATTTTATTTCTTCTGCATTACTGTAAATGTATCTTCTCCCCGCTTAGCAACATTATCTGTGTAGATGCTGTGAAAGAGCTAGTTAACTGACAGTTCTTATGTGGATTATATTGCTGGAAAGTTGGTCTTGTAGAGTACAACGGTTTAAGGTGGTTGCTTTCATTGGGAATAGAGAATTCACATGCTTGGTTGATTTGGGGTTTCATTTATGTTAATGGCCAATCTAGGTTTCCTAGTAACCTTTTGACTCGTAAACTTCCTAAAATAAAAGGATGAAAAAAACAGAGTAGCATTCAAGGGACCTGCTTGTTATTGGAACCGTGTCAATTCTATTACAATATATAAATCAAAATTATATGCTGCACTAAGATACTGTACAATAATTTCAGTGCCATTGTATGACCGATTCCTTTTATTTTATTTTATTTTTTGTTCGAGGGAGATTCTGTTCCCTTCTACAAAACAGTTGATTCTTTTGTAGCAACTTTGCAGCAATACTTTGTGTTTTTTCATTTCCTTCAAAGTTCATGCCTTTTGTTAGGTCTAACGAAGAAGTGGGATCGCTCTCTCCTGTATCTGTTAGTCTTGCTGCTGGATTTTCTGGTTCCATTGCTGCAGCTGCATCTCATTGTTTTGACACTGCCAAATGTCGATCACAATGTACTGTGCTGCCCAAGGTATGTCGCAGAAAGTTTTCACATTGATGAGTTCTTATTCAATTTACTTTTAACAATGTCAATTGCATCATCTTGAAAGAATAGTTATTTGAGTTGCTGTCCATTCTTCTGATGTTTAAAATGATTTTGGCTCTCTTTTTATTCTTAATATCACATGAGTTAAAAAAAAAAAAAGCAGGGGGAGTAAATTTACTTATAAAATCTTGACAAGATAGTATTGTTTTCTTGCAGTATATTTCCATGGAGAGGAAGATGTTGAAATGGACACGACCAGGGAATGGATTTGAGAGGTTTACAGGGATCCACCCTGCAGACAGGAATCTCTTGTTCCGTGGCCTGGGGTTGCGAATGGCACATAGTGGGTTTGCATCGTTTATGATTGTTGGGAGTTATTATTTGACTGTTGATTACCTTGTATAGGGCGACCCAAGAAAAGAGAACCAAAGGAGTACAAGTTGTAGAACTGCCTAGGCTGAGTCCATGTTCACTGCAAAAGAGTTTCTCTGAACGACATGAACTGTTTACTTTTGCAGCTTGGAAAAGTGGTGTTTCAGGGAGGAAAATGAAACACTTGCCTAATAACCAAGTTAAACAAAGTTAATCCAACTATCTTAATAAAAAAATTCTACAAAATTGCTCTCTGTCCATGTTATTCCCCTTCCCTGATTCAGGAAGTTGTCTGCAACAACTCTGGTTTCATAATATTTCATTTTTCAGCCTACGGAAGATTCAGTTTAAGGTTTTGGAATGGATTTCCTAATATCTGCGAAACCATCGAGCTTAATCGACTAATTGTCTCAAACCGAAGAATTTTTTATTGAAACATCTCTGTTTTTCCTACCATATACTTTGTGTGATCCAACGTATTCTATATATGGTGGAAAACAGGTGGAAAGCAACAGAAGCATATCTGCAGAAACATGATAATATAGCAGCAAGATAGCAGGTAGCCAGAACTGGTTGAAAGGCAAAGACTCGAGAAACTATTGCATTATTTATCTACAATTGGTATTCATTAAGGTCATTAGTTATTCATTAGTATAAACAGTGACAACAGTGTCCGCGCTTCTGATCAAAGATGGCTGCAGAGAGGAACAGTGGGCTGACTAGATAAGGATTGGCCATGAATTGATCCATCAAGTTCAGCACTTGGGTGTGGCTCTTTGGGGATGAAACAGGATGAATCACACCTTCAAATCAAGCCAGAAATAGTAAATATTGGTTCTGACATTATTTATATTCTTAGAAAGCAGGAGGGGCCGTGGGAGGGATTGGGTGGACGGTAGAGAATTACGGATGGTCGACTTTTGAGTAGTGACAGCTTTGTTGCGAGGGATTGAAGAGGCCATGGAAGATGACATGGTTTTCTTTCAGCACGAAATTAGTACTGACAAAGATAGAGACGAGTGGATTGATATAGGGATCAGATACGACTGTGGGTTTGTTTTTTACAGTACTGAGGTGTGCAAGATAATACAGACTATAGAGGATATTTTTAGGGTTTATAATCACTTATTTGTTGCCCAAGTTATGTACATGGTAAAAAACTGTCAATTACTGTGAATAAAGAGTAAAACACTGTTACTTACCGTGACTAGCTTGTTGTTTCTCATGTGGTGAGAAGTTTTTTTTTTTTTTTTTTTTAAGTGATAAAATAGTTGTTTGACATTTAATTAATAATTAGTGGATAATACTCATGCTAGCTAACACTAACCGAAATATTCATATTGGTTAGGATACTTTCGTTTCATTAGTTTAAGCCTTTCTTATCGATTAGTATTCTTTCTTATCATTAGTTTAAGCCCTTCTTATCTCGTAATTTATTAATTTGTAGTTGCTTGGAATTCTAGTAGCGTGTAAAGATCTTGATGTACTCTAAGGTATTGTTAAGTAACAAAACAGTGAGAATGAAAAATTAAAGTTTTATTCTGACTTTATAGATATTTGATTGAAAAAAAAAAAAAGTGAGAATGAGAATGAAAAATAAAAATAAAAATAAAAATTAAACATAATTTTATTTACGTAGAGGAAAGTGGAAATAAAAATATTTTTTGTCTTCAAAATAATAGTATATTATTCTTTATTTTTTATGTATCAATTATTTCTACCATCCCACCACCACGATAAAAAAAATTATTATTATTATTTCACTACCACTCCCCCACCACCACTGTCGTTACTATCGCCGCCACTCGATCATTGACAATGGTGATAATAAAATTCAATAATAATAATAATATTTCGCCACCACTCCTCCTCTCGCCAAGACCACTGCTCGTCGTCGCCATAACCAACTCGTTGGTGGTGGTGATAAAACAAATTCAAAAAAATTATTATTATTATTATTCCGCCATTACTCTTCCTCTACCACCACAATCTCTTTTATTATTTCACAACCACCATTACACTTCTTCAACTCGCCACCTCTTATGGTGGTGATATAAATTTTTTAAAAATATGTTAACTCAACTTGTCCGCTAACCTTAGGATTTCATCTTTGTAGTTGAATTCCTCCATCGAACGACTTAGTTTGGACTTAAGCCCTTCATAAGAACTATATGTATGTCTCCTACGTATTCCGGGGTCCGGCTTTGCATTAATTGGAGTTCTGAAACTTTAGATATGAATTAAATACTACAAGTGATCCGGATTCCGAATACGATTCAAATAAGCTCTTTAGACCGCATTATAAAATATTTCTTGAAAGCCCAAACGAATTTGGATTTTGACCTAATTTTTTTTTTTTTTTTGGAGTCCCTAAAGACCATGTTTTTCAAATCCAATTCTAAGGCTTCGGATGACCAGCAGAAGCCTAGAAGGCATAAGTTAATCATGCTGGAATTCAATTAAAAATTGAAGGGTTTATGTTTAAATCATGTGATAGTTGTGTTTTGAACAAATGAAACCGATTTGATATAATTGGTGATCTTTTAAGGTTTAATGAGTAGGAATCATTTGGTTGTTTGGTAAGAGAATCATTTGGCGAAGTCTCCAATTTAAGAGATTATGAAATTGGATAGTTAAGTAATGAAATTTAGTGACTTTAGCCTTGGTTAGTTGTAGTTAGGACAATGAAATGAAGAAACATGATGGATTGATTAGGGGATAGATTAGGCTTGAATATGATAAGGTGAATTGTATGGATTGAATGATTGAGGAAATCTCTTTTGGTTGAATGGATGAAGCATTTTGCCAAGAGAGATCTTTGGATTGTTTACTTAATGCTTTATGTTGTGTTGAATTGCAATGAACAAGTATGTTTAATGATGAAACGATGTGATATGGTTTGAAAATGATTGTACGTATGATGCATATTGGTGTGGCCATATTCGGCCAAGAGTGAATTTTCTAAGGTTAGTGTTTGTATGAGATTTTATAATGGATTCATATCTTTTTATGACATGTTGTTGGGAACTTGAGATTGACGGAATGATAATTGGTTGAGTTGATTGTAGTATGTTTTCGTTGATGAAAAAATTGAAGCCACGATATTTGATTTTCGTTGACAAAAATTATGAATCCATGACATTTGATTTTTGTTGATGAAAATTTTTATTTCATGAAATGCGATAGTCATAGACAAATATATATTTTTGCTAAATGTGGTGTCTTTGGTTGAATAATATGTAGGGTATAGTTAATGGAGGATGGTTTGGCTTAGGTAGGCTAAATGGAGAATTTCGTAATCGTGTCTTGTGATCAATTCGGCCAATAGACATGGAATTGTTTGAGGTTGTTATGGCATGATGGATTTAGATTAAAGGAAATAATTGAGGTAGTTTGGATTATGTTCATTGTTGGTTTTGGCTTTATGTTAGAAGGATGTATGCTTATGGTGCCATGTGAAGGATTCGACCATGAGTTGTTTCGAGTTATATTCATGAATCATTGATAACATATGAGTTATATTCATGGTTGTTAAGGTTAGCTAGTTTCAACCTTGTCACATCATGTTAATTGTATTCACGATTGGTAGGTTTGACGATATTCAACCTTGTTATGTCATGTGGAATGTATTTAGTAATGACTTAATGCCATATGACTCATGTTCATGTTTATACTTTATATTACTTTCTAATTGCATTCACGTCATATAATGTTTTATGTCATGGTTTCAAGCATTTAAGAAAGGACATGTATATGGTTTATCATGACATGACATAACATGGCTAGGTATGTTCAAGAGGGCAAGAGAAATGATCAACCCTTGTGAGGTTCATTAAATTGAATCGAACATATCTAGAGCCTTTATGAAAATAAAAGGAATGATACTATATGTATTCAACAGGATGCACCTAAAAGACATAAAAGAATTTCAAGTATGAAAAATGATAGTTTTCATTGCATCCATACATTGTTACACTTATTGAACTTTATCTCATCTTATTTTGTCTTGTGGTGTAGGCGAATAAAACAATGCTTGAGGACATGTAGATCTATTGAGGATGCTGGTCGTGAGCTATAGAGTTTGCAAAAATTATGTACTATAGGTTAAGTTTAAAGTTTGAAGGCTAACCACTCGTTAGGTTCGATAACTTATGGGTAATGCTTAGATTCGACCATTTTGAGTTGTAACGATAAACGTTAAGTCATTTTGGATATACTTATAGATATATTGATGAGATTAAAAGATAATGGAATGTTTATGTTCATTTTAGAAGTGTTGATGAATTTATCTATTTAAGGATTTTAAGCTCATGTTTCGGTTATGAATAGAAATGGAAGAGTTTATAATATGCATCGAGTTGTAAAAAATTTGTTAGCACTAAATGTAAAATTTAGAAAGCCTTAAACTTTAAACCAAATATGTAAATTCTACTATGCAATGTGATAGAGGTCCAAGATAGAGGACACGAGTGCATCGCCTTACACTCTCGGGTGTGAGATAGTGTAGTAACACTCTCGACTCCCCGAGCGTTACATTTAGTTTAATAACCCTTATAAATTTGACAAATCTACTCCCAACAATGATCTCCTATCAGTCTTATCATCATCTTGTCAAAGCTCGTGTATTTTCATAACCCTTTAGATTTGACCCTATGTACACTCAACAATAATCCCCTAATGATACTACCATCATGTTACAAAACGAGCTCATATGGAAACTTTTTTTCTAGCATAAAAATAATAGAACATAAACTTTTTTAAGATCGTGTAACATAAGGGCTAGAAGTACGATAAACTTGGCTAAAATATGATGCTTAAAGCACTAGCCCTATCTTCTTCACTTTACAAAAAAGAGAGGCTTTAAATACTAACTAGATCGAAATGAGATGATCTATCCAATGAGGTAGGATTCTAATCTTCATTAGTGTATGCTAGACCTAGGATATCTTGATTGTAAGACTAAAAAAAAATTAAACTAGCTTTATTCCTTTAAAAATCAGTTACTTTCAAGCAAACAAAAATTTGACTAAAAT